CCTATATATGCCTGACTTGGAATATAAGTTACACTTTCAAACAATTACAGCTACCTTATTTTAGCACACGATACGAAACAAGGAGTAACCCGGACCAAAATATTCGTTCGACAATGCTCTCAAATACCTTCTTTCAAGCCCTCCTTGAGCTCCAACGATTTTGTTTTGCTGTACTTGAGCCTGCACGCGTAAACGGTAATTATCCCCTAGAAATATAATATTACAAAACATTCGAAACACAAACGACGTTGGGCAATAGTTAACCAGAACAATTCTGACCGAATTGATGTAAAACTGTTGCAGTAGTATTTCCAGAGACATCAGTGTCTCCTAGAAAGATTGGATATTGTTCCTGTGGTCCGGCTACTTTTGTGCCGACGTATGTGGCACCAAATCGATACCCTGTATTCGTGGGAGAAATCGACAACGTGTGAGAAACCTGCAGAGTAACAAAACATCAAAGAACACCAAATTAAAATTAAATATTGAGAGGATATTGAACTAAGCCTTCAAAAAAAACTGCAGAAACGGACACACCTGGAAATGGGAGCTGAGACCTTTGGTCACCATCACCTTAGCTCCCTCAAAACACATGGGAAAGACATCACGGGTTTTACGATGCAGTTCTTCAAAACTGCCTGAAAAATCCACTTATATCAAGCGTACTAAGGTCGAGGTTGCACAAATTAGTTGACTGCGGTACTACTTCAGGTCCGTGTTGTGCACGCGATCTTCTTGTCTTATGAGGAGGGCTTATCTGATCTTATTCAAGATCAGCTATGGCCTTTCATTTTCCTTTTGAAACACTGTCTCGAATTTGCTCAACTATTTTCCAAATAGTGTTATGAAGGCGAAGGGCGCAGCGGTGATGGTTCGCACTCTAAGGCAAAAGGTCGTGGGATTTAGACTTCCGAGATATTACTTCTTGACTTTAAAAATGTTCCTGAATCAACCTAACTACTCGTTACTTCGCCTGTGTTTGTCTATCCTGTCTCATGAGCCTGCGATGGGTCCATTTGCCCGCGGCTACTCACAGACGTGTAAACGGCGGCCAGGCTTCGTCGTAACTCGTTCTACAGGTGTTATAGCATAAGACGCGGTGAAAGCAGTGTTAGAAACACTGTGCACAAAAGCAGAGCAGACCAATGAGACCGACCCCACGAGCACTTTCAGTGCTTTGCTCAAGAGCCCGCACCACTACTGCAGCGCTTTGCGGCTCCACAACTCCATTCAGAGAACTGATTAGCAGCTTAGGAAGGCGGGTTGAAATCACAATTTAACGGGGCACGTAGAAATTTATATTGCCTCTCGAATGGCCATGTCGACCTGGAAGCCTCTCCTTCTTTGTAACTACTTCAATGAATCATTTGCTTCCAATTTACGTTGGGCGCATCAGGAAAAGATGATAAATCACAAACATCGAGTAATGTGATGTTAACGAAAATGATTTTTCGAATGCATGAGTTTGTTTTGCGAACACATTAGAACCGTCAAGAACACTAAGAAGTGAGGAATCTTTTTTTTCACATTGAATATGTACGTTTTTCAAAACACAACGTAACTAAAAGGTAGAGACAAAATGGGAATCATTAGCAAAAATCGCACAAGTACCAACATGCTCTTGTAATCGTAGTATATATAATCATTCTAAACTACTATAGTGAGTATTACATTAACTAAGTAATGCTCTATAATCTAAAAAACATTACCTGGATTGGTTGAAGGTTTTGTAGGTGCACTGGTTGCATCAGATGTAGATTGAGCCATATCAAAACCCTGAAATAAATAACGCTTGGAAAAGTAAATAGATTCCACTGTAATGGATACGCACAACTCTAATACAAAATGCGGAAAGACATCTAGAACTCTTTTTACAAAAACGATTTCAAAAGAATAAGCAAATCATCTAATTCGACCAATGATTCAATGAATAACCAGAACGACCAGGCTTGCGAGAAAGATATAACAATTCACCTTGACAAGAAACTTCACAAAAAGCTAGGCACTATGAGACAATTAGCAGAATCAACTTTGGTACAAATGGTTTCCAGTTTTTTAAATTATGCAATCACTTTGCAAACGACGAGAAATCACGGAACAACTGCTCGTAAACGTCACGACTAGCGTTCGCAATCATTACGTGTCGTCAACCGGAATTCTTCTCGATACTAGACTCTCCAGTAGAAATCTTGAACAGGAACATGAAGAGTTTGAGTTTCTCCGCGCCCCGGGCGCGATCTTCCGTCTGGGCGCGTCGTTCCATAAGAAACCTTCTTCAGCATTTGTGGGGACGTAAAGATTTAGAGCACTCTGCGGCGTCAGATAGGAGATGTTATCCGCAAATGCACACCAGGCGCTTATTTTACGCAAAACCAGCCACAAAACGCGAGAATTACAGGGAATGAAAGACGGAAAAATGGATGAAAAGAGGGGTTCCGATTGTAAGCACACACAAAAAACGAGACCTCACAACCAGTGGTACTTCTTGTGCTGCACACAGCCATGCGCTGCCTACCGTGCGTTGCGCAGAGTTCAGAATTTTTATGACCCCTTTTGGAGGGTATCGGTACGACCCACCCTAGGCCGATGTCAGACTTTGCGAATCGCGCGATTCGCTAGCGTCTGCGGTCGCGTCGCGGCCAGTGAATCACTCAATTGGCTGGTACCGCAACGCGACCGCGGACGCTAGCGAATCGCGCGATTCGCAAAGTCTGACATCGGCCTACGAGTTATTGTCTTTTTTTTTAAATATTTCTATGTATGCCCATCATCGATGTATGGGCCGTCGCTGACATACATGGGGAGGTGGATGGACAGTAGTAAGTCCGCGCGCTTTGTCTCGCTCAGAGGACGAATCGAGGCAACATGAAATTTTACTCATTAAATAGAAGTAATTTAAAAAAATTTGCGTAAACCTAGGCATGATAGTAATCGAGAGATTTCTTCTTCAGGAACCTACTAAGTTCTTCGAACTCACATATCTCCTTTTTTTATAAACTGAATAACAAGACCTTGCAGTGATTACGTTACGACACAAACCTCTTCATTTAACACGTTGACGACAGCGTGACGCGGTAACGCGTCCCACTTTGCGCACCTTGTGGGACATTGTGACCGCGGGGCACTATTGCATTATTACAACCCCGGTAAGGGTGAGAGAAGTCAAAAAAATTTTCGCTGAAAATTCTCATATGAGGGTTATCGAGGGTCCTGATCATGGATATGAGGTCCATTTTGCCAAATTGGCGCCATTTGGCGCCATGTGGCGCCATGACTGAGAAATGTGTAGAACTCCTTGTGTATCGATGTGGTTCGGGGGAATACAGTGGTAGAATGTTTATTGTGTAGCTTGGATTCTGGGCGTGCCTCTCAGTCTCAAACGAGGCCGCGCCTGTGATATATTTGAGTGACATTATGTGCTCAAGGTCTGGCATGCCACCAGAACCTTCCCACCTAATCTCACCTACGCACTCATCTCAACACCTCACAACTCCTTGAGCACATATAAATGTCACTCAAATG